CTCACCTGTGGAAACCTTTACCTGTGAACATGTCAGTTGCTTAATCTCTGCCTTCCCCCTACCTACATTTGTATGGTGACATCTATAATATACATGATTCTGATGTTTTATATGGCAAGGTGCACCTTAGATTTTTGCTGGTGTACCCAAATTTTGTATGGTTGGAGCCGAGTTAGCATCACCAGCTAAGTTTCCTCTATCCTCTTCTCTCCTCAGTCCTCTGTGTACTTAATTTTGAATAACTTAATTTTGAATAACTTTTTAAAAGTACATTTCTTATTTCATATCTCTCTACTAACAATGTGCATAGTTTTCCAACTGGCCACCCTCAACTTTTAAAAACACATTAGTCACTGGTAGTGCAAGCATCAGCCTACACTTATAGTACTACACAACCAAGCAGTAATTTTAAAAGAAAAAGAACTTTTATAACCCATGTACTGTAACAGTAACTTACAGGCTCAGACAATGGTACAATTATGCCTCCCCCTCCCCCCTTCGCTTGTTACTCTGTCTAGACTGGATGTTATGTTCTATTCCGGCTCCTCTCTTAGCTTCTTGTGGTTTTCCTGTTTTTGTCCTTTATCTTCAAGGCCCCTGAACTGGTACGAAAACACTTTGATTTGTGTTTCTCTATTTGTTCAGCTGGGCAAGGAATAACTAACTAACGATCATTGTTCCATCAGGAAGCAGGGCTCGAAATACAGTACATGGGTGCATGTGCGCCTTAGTGCAGTCAAATTTTGAGCTGTGCACCCAATTTTTTTTCTGTGGGTGCACCAGTGCACACAAATATTTTCTTAGGCTTACGTATGTAAAGATGTTAAATGTATAGTATATGCAGCAAATTCTTAACATCTAACATGTAAGTGTCAGAAAAAATAATAAAATCATTCTTTACAATTTAGAATTATTTTTTGCTAACATTGTACTTACTTTATCTTACATGGGGCACCCCAAAAATAGTTTTGTGCTCCCAAGTTTTTTAGGTTGGGTGCACCAGTACACCTTTTCCCAAAATGAATTTCAAGCCCTGGGATAATACACATTGTGACAAAAATGAAGAGGCGAATCCGACAACCAACAAATTGAATTGGTGTGGCCAGAGCCTTTGTGTTCAATAACAGGCAACTACATATGGAACTATACAGACAAGGGTCTCTTGTAACCAAGTGTACAGGAAAGACATTTAAGACCAGATGTATAATCTTTGGAGTATCATACTTGCCTTCCTGAGTGAAAGAAGGACTTCCTAACCAGAGTGGGTGTAACCTAGAGACTGACATTATAGACACTATTATATTATACTTTATAGACACAATAGACACGGGTCTCTTGTATCTAAGTGTACAGGAAAGTCATTTAAGACCAGATGTATAATCTTTGGAGTATCATACTTGCCTTCCTGAGTGAAAGAAGGACTTCCTAACCAGAGTGGGTGTAACCTAGAGACTGACATTATAGACACTATTATATT